TGAGTGCCTCAGGTCAGAAGGCACTCATATTACCACTGGCAAAGAGCTGCCTCCTCAGAGTAGAGCTAACCTTAATGATGTAGATGGAGTAAAGTTTTTGGAACCTCCATTTTGTGATGTGGCATGACTCAAAATAAGAAGAAACATCTGTAAACATCCATTAATAATCAGAATATGGAATGTATGAAGTATGAATCTAGGAAAATTGGGAGTTGTCAAAAATGAAATGGAATGCATAAAGATTGATATCTTAGGCATTAGTGAGCTGAAAGGACTAGTTTTGGCTATTTTGAATCAGATAACCATATGATCTACTATGCCAGGCATGACAAATTGAAGAGGAATGGGGTGGCATTCATCATCACAAAGAATGTTTCAAGATCTATCCTGAAGTACAATGCTATCAGTAATAGGATAATATCCATATGCCTACAAGGAACAGTTAATACTACTGTTATTCAAATTTATGCACCAACAACCAAAGCCAAAGAGGAGGAAATTGAAGGTTTTTTTTTTTTTTTTTCCCTACCAACTTCTGTATTTTGAAATTGACTGAACATGCAATCAAGAAGTGTTGATTATTACTGGCGATTGGGATGCAAAAGTTGGAAACAAAGAAGAATCACTGATAGAAAATATGACCTTGGTGATAGAAATAATGCTGGAGATTGCATGATATAATTCTGCAGGACCAACTACTTATTCATTGCAAATACCTTCTTTCAAAACACAAATGGTGGCTATACATGTGGACTTCACCAGATGGGATACACAGAAATCAGATCAACTACATCTGTGGAAAGAGGTCATGGAGAAGTTCAGTATCATTAGCCAAAACAAGGCCAGGGGCTGACTGTGGAACAGACCATCAGTTGCTCATATGCAAGTTCAAGTTGAGGCTAGAAGAAAATTAAAACAAGTCCATGAGAGCCAAAATATGACCTTGATAATATCCCTCCTGAATTTAGAGACCATCTAAAGAATAGATTTGATGCACTGAACACCAATGACCGAAAACCAGAGGAATTGTGGGATGACATCAGGGATATAATCCATGAAGAAAGCAAATGGTCACTAAAAATACAGGAAAAGGAAGAAAAGACCAAAATGAATGTCAAAAGAGACTCTGAAACTTGCCCTTGAATGGAGAGTAGTTAAAGCACATGGAAGAAATGACAAGATAAAAGAGCTGAATAGAAGATTTCAAAGAGCAGCTCGAGCAAACAAAGACAATTACTATAATGAAATGTGCAAAGATCTGGAGTTAGAAAACCAAAAGGTTTTTGCATTTCTCAAGCTGAAAGAACTGAAGAAAAATTTTAAGCCTTGAGTTGCAATATTGAAAAAATCCATGGCTAAAATATTGAATGATGCAGGAAACATCAAAAGAAGATGGAAGAATACACAGTCACTGTGCCAAAAAGAATTGGTTGATGTTCATCCACTTCAGGAGGTGGCATATGATCAAGAACCAATGGGATTGAAGGAAGTTGAAGCCGCACTGAAGGAATTGGCAAAGAACAAGGCTCCAGGAATTGATGGAATACCCACTGAGATGTTTGAAAAAATGGACGCCATGCTGGAAACACTCACTTGTCTATGCCAAGAGATTTGGAAGACAGCTACCTGGCCAACTGACTGGAAGAGATCCATATTTGTACCCATTCCAAAGAAAGGTGATCCCACAGAATGTGGAAATTATCAAGCTGGATTCAGAAGAGGACATGGAACGAGGGATATCATTGCCGATGTCAGATGGATTTTGGCTGAAAGCAGAGAATACCAGAACGATGTTTACTTGTGTTTTATTGACTATGCAAAAGCATTCAATTGTGTGGATCATAACAAATTATGGATAATTCTGAGAAGAGTGAGAATTCCAGAACACTTGATTGTGCTCATCAGGAACCTGTACACAGACCAGGAGGCTATTGCTCAAACAGAACAAGGGGATACAGCATAATTTAAAATCAGGAAGGGAGTGTGTCAGCGTTGTGTCATTTCACAATACTTATTCAATCTGTATGCTGAACAAATGATCTGAAAATCTGTATTATATGAAGAAGAACATGGTATCAGGATTAGAGGAAGACTCATTAACAACCTGCAGTATGCAGACAACACAACTTTGCTGAATGTGAGGATGACTTGAAGGATTTACTAATGAAGATTAAATACTTCAATCTGCAGTATGGATTACATCTCAACATAAAGAAAACAAAAATCCTCACAAATGGACCAATAAGCAACATCCCAATAAATGGAGAAAAGATTGAAGTTGTCAAAGATTTCATATTACTTGGTTTCACAATCAACACCAATGGAAGCAGCAGTCAAGACATGAGACATTGTATTGCATTGGGCAAATTTGCTGCAAAAGACCTCTTTCAAGTGTTGAAGACCAAAAATGTCTCCTTGAAGATTACGGTATGCCTAACCCAAACCATGTTTTTTTCAGTTGCCCCATATGCATGTGAGAACTGGACAATGAATAAGAAAGATCAAAGAAGAGTTTATGCTTTTGAATTGTAGTGTTGGTGAACAATACTGAAAGTACTGTGGACTGCCAACAGAATAAACAAATTTGTCCTGGAAGAGGTACAGCCAGAATGCTCTTTGGAAGCAAGAATAGCCAGACTTCATCTCACCTACTTTGGTCATGTTGTCAGAAGGGCCCATCCCTGGAGAAGGATATCATGCTTGGTAAAGTGGAGGGGTAGTGAAAAAGAGGAAGGCCTTCAGTGAGATGGATTGACACAGTGGCTGCAATGATGGGCTCAGGTATAGGAAGGATTGTGAAGCCAGTACAGAACCAGGAAGTGTTGTGTTTTGTTGTACATAGGGTCATTAAGAGTTGGAGCCAACTTGATGGCATCTAGCAACTACAACAACTTGTGTGTGTGTATATATATATATATAGAGAGAGAGAGAGAGAGAGGGAGCTGGAGAGTGAGAGCACACTATAGTAATATTCCCAAAGTTAACGGGGTAAAATATGACTGATTCTGAATTTTTAAATACTTTGGGAAAAAATGTAGATGCCTAGCTTTTATTTAAGGAACACTGATGGGGTAGTGTCTAAGGCATTTGACTGCTAACCAGAAGGCAGGCTGTTCAAACCCACCAGTCACTCCATGGAAGGAAGATGAGGCAATCTACTTCTGTAAAGATTTACTACCTTGGAAATCCAATGGGGGTTGCTATGAGTCAGAACTGACTAGATGATCAATGGCAATGAGGTTTTTTTTTTGTTTGTTTTTTTTTTTAAGGAGAGAAATTCATTTTTGCAAATCTATTTTCCCAATTACTGTTCTATCTGCCTACTATAGAAAAGTAAATTTTGAGAATTATTTGTTTTCTAAAGTGGATCATTCATATGTAGCATAATGAAAGAATTGGCTAGCATTCAGCATATTATTTTAGCATAACAAAAGCACTATCCTTCTGATACTCAAGATCAATTTACTAAGGCATCCTAGAAGAATCCTATTTCTAAGGATGCATATGAGTTGAAATCTCAGTGGGTACCTGATACATGGTTTAAGTTGGAGAATGCTTTCTTATAACTCCACAAGGAGTATTGGACATAGAATGCCTAAGCAGCTGAATATTAACCATATTCCCCAAACCAAATCAAATCCAATGCCTTTGAGTTGATACTTACTCATCGGGACCCTATAGAACAGTGTAGAACTGCCCCATTGGATTTCCAAGGATGTAAATCTTTACTGAAGCAGACTGCTTCATCTTTCTCCCATGAAGTGGCTGGTGGGTTTGAAATGCTGACCTTTCTGTTAGCAGTCAAATGCTTTAACCACTGCATCACCAAAGCTCCTATTGACTGCAAATACATCATTGCCACTAATAATAGCTACTATCTGTTGATTAGTGCCTTGTACCAGGAATATTGGAACTGAGAGAAACCAATACTTCATTTAAAGGAAGAGGAACTCAGTTCTAGAGAAATCAAACTAACCTATCCAAGGTCATATAGGACAAAATAAGAGACCTTCACTTTTAATTGAATGTCTTTTCTATTGAACCACTAGTTTTGAATGGCCTTCTATGATTTTATATAGTCTTATAAGGACTTTTTGATCTTTAGAAGATATTTTTGTGTATCTAGCCCAGATAATCTCAACTTCAAGTTCATATAAACATATGTGTACGCGTATTATTTCAGAATTGAAGACACTGATTGAGCAGTGTCTGATAAAGCAGAAGAATCTCATTATGTTTTATCTCCTTTTTTATAATCAAACATACTTTATATCAGTTTTTATATATATGAGAACATATATGTATATATATATATTTTTCTTTATATGTATAGTATTATTATTTGTAATCTATATTGTTTTTCTCTTCCATAAATCAATTATCCAGACTACCTTCTGTTTGAAGCTTTTAGCTAATGTTTGTTCAGGAAATGTAAATTTGGTTAAAAATCAGCCAAAGTACAAAGTGATTTGGCAAGTATATTTTGTTCTGGGAAAAAGGAAAAAAAAAAAAAAAAGATACACCCATACAGATATACATAAAAATACTTATACACACAAACACACACATACGTGGACACCAAAGTAACATATCTACATACACGTGGGTATGTGTGTTGTCTGTATGATGTTACCATACTATGTGTTATCTGTGTGATGTTACCTCTATCAACACAGAATACTGTGGAACTATTTATAGAATTGGTATTTTTATACACAAAAACAATGTATATTGCCAAGATGCTTCCTTTTTTAAAGTATGTATGTATGCATTTATTTTTATTTTAAAAGGCATTTGTAGGTGTCTTTGGGGGAAAATATCTCTGGTTGGTTTGGTCTGATTTATATTTTCATCTTAATCTATTGTACACAGGCTTCTCTGTAAACTCCATGATTTAAATGTGTAAGTCATTCAGAATTAATTAATTGTGTGGTTTGTTTTGGTTTTGGAAAACACTAGTAAGACAATTTTCTAAACATTTGAGGGGAAAAATCTTAAGGTCATACCATAGTTTCTTTTTTAATATTTTCAAAAAGCAACTGACTTCACAAACACCAACTATAACATGATTTAAACAACTGAGAAACAGGCAACTGTACTTTAAAATGCTAAAATGAAATACATTTATACAAGTACAAAGTGAAACAATGCTGATAAAAATGTGTAACTTTATGAAAAAATCATTTGCAATTCACATCAAAATAATTTAACATTCTCTATTATTTTAATAGTACAAGCTGCAACAACAGAAACAGAACAGATACGCGCACACAATTTTTAAACCAAATCATTTATAAGTGCAGAAAAAAGTAAGTACAAGCACTTTTAGCCCACGTGAATCTTTTAGAATTGGCACCATCTGTCTAAAACATCTATATTCTATATAGATTTCTAATTACAACACCACCAGCAGCTGCCATTGAATTCTAGAAATACACACAATATACATAGTATATTTGTTCACATTGGAAAGATCAGTGAAATCAGCCAACTGTTTTATACATGCCTCATTCTTCAGTAGATACTAGAGAATTCTCCCAGGCCTCAGTCCCTCTTCAAAATGAATTCTGATTTATCTGCATGCATTCACTGATCTGTGTTTTTTCACAGTATAAAATTGTAAATGATAACTATAGAGATTCTGACAGCTTGAGGGTTATTAATAAGCTGTTGCTAAATGTGAACTCATAGAATACCTTTGAAGTCTCCAAAACATGTACATTTTGCTGGGAGACTGGCATAGGATTTTTTTTTTTTTTCTTTAAAAAGAGTATTTAATTCCTGGATTAGAAGTCACAGAACTGCAGCTGAGCCATTATATAATTCATTTACAGTCAGAAATAACCCCTAGTCTTTCTGATCACTTGCTGGTACCAGGAGTAGCTTGGGAAAGACTTACTATTGAAGGTTAGCACATTGGAGATTTGCTCTTCTGCCATTGCTTTAGTCAAAGTCTTACATGATTTTCTTTCCCTGTGCCTCTCTGTTCCTCACCCCTAGTGAGAAAGATGGTTCTTTCTACTCCAGATATGATCTTCTCAGTCTGCCCACAGTCCTCTCCCAAAATAGAAGGATGAGTGGACTGCTTAAATAATAAGCATAACATTGCTAAACCAGGTCTTCTTGCTTTCATCACGGGGCCATACTCTCCTTTAGGGTGACTTTTCTGACCCTTTGCAACTCACTGCAACATCCCCTTTTTTATAGTCATGTTGGTCCCGGCTGAATAACCACTGGGCACCAGGAACAGATTGTTTTCAAGGAAATTCAACAAGAAAAGTAACCAAATGATTTTTGAAGTTCATTTCCTAGCCCTAGAGTGAAAGTTCAGTTCTTTTTGTATTGTATATTTATTACTTGGAACCTGGTATTAGAATTGGCAAAGAGACAGAGTTAGCGTCATTCCAAAATAAAAGATTTCCAGAAGAGATTATTAATAATGTTATGTCCCATATACAATGTATTCAATGAAGTGGTAAAGGTCATAGAAATAGAGAAAAGTACCTCTTGTTCTTGTCTAATTGATTAAATTATTTTTCTTATTACAGTTACTTGATTATGAGTTCATATGGAATTATCAGATGGCAATTTATTTGCATTAAATTATACTTTCTAATGAATTTCCTCATACGAGAGGGGGGTGAACTTTATAAAAAAATATGTTACTGAAAAACCAGAAAACAAAAGTCCTCACAGACTGATTAATAGAGGGAAGTGTACTGTACTTGAGAATAAAGTGGAAATCAAGATAAGTATTTCATGAAATGAATTTTAAAATTTAGATCACATTTAGAAAAGTTTCAGTGTCTAAGAAATCAAGACAGTAATATGCAGGCTAATTCCACCCTATTGATGATTATTCAGAAATATTAATGTTTCAAAATGTTTGCCTTTGTTTCTCAGGCAGATGCAGACAGACATTTGCTTCCAATGGAACCAGAAAGTTACCTAGATTTTACTTCTGTTTCATGAGTCTCATTTTAATACTTGGGATCAGGGTATGATGATGGTATTATTTTCAAATCTATCATAGGAGGTTTATCTTTTTCACAAACCAATATTTTAGTAGGCTAAAGGCAGCTTTTGATGTTTGCTGTTGGGAGATTTAATTTGAATTTTGATATAAGAACAGATATCAGGAAAATCAACAAGCAGTACACTTATTGTAACTTTTAAAATTGGAAAATACTAAATTATATCAATGTATATGTTTTCATTTCTCAATTACTATTTTTCAAAATACGTGTGAAATGAAAAAATATATACCAAAATAAGGAAATTGAGCTTGAGGAAAGGTTCTATTTATTTTTCACTCTACCATAAATATACTTCTGCCTCACATCAAATCTTTCTAATAAGGCTATCTTTGTGTAAGGCTGGATCAACTCAACTTTAAATTTCTAGGACACTCCTCCTTTTTATTACTATCCTTATTTTAAAAACAAAAACATTTGGCACCTGAGGATAGCTGTCATGGGAGGAAGAAAGAGATGACAGTGGTTACAGGTCTTGAGCTATGAATTCTATCTCTATGAGCCTATCAAATCATGTGTTTCTATTATAACTTTAAGTCTCTTTTCTGCAATATTTAAAAAGTGATAGTATGAAGTGCACAAAATTATACTAATACTTTGAAAAGGAAAATATTAATAATTGCCTCTTTTTTGGAATGGCTAAGAAAGATTATGTGGTCTGTTTATTAAGGTTCCTCTGTTTTAGTGTTCTGTATTGCTTTGAAAAAATCTACATTTGTCATAGTTCATAGCTGCCCTGTTTAAGCAGCCAAGAAATGTTAAAATGACTGCTCATTGGCATAGCTAAATCTCTGCTAAGTCAACTTGATACAGCTTAAAATTTCCAGTGTATTTAGATTTTGTTAATTCTTCGAACAACAGTCCCTCCAATCATGGCGATGTCTTCATTGGGTCTATGGAGCATTCTTCCAGTGGTTGTAACTCAAAAGAAGAGAGGAGCTGCTCTTTGTGCATCAGATTCTCAAAAGAAAGGAATGAAGAAACCCAAATGCCTATTTCAATATTTTAGCTGGCAATACTAATAGAACAGCATAAGGAGTGGCAGCGTTTCATAAGGAGATAGCCAGGCTGCAGCTCAAGAATTATTATTATAAAGAGAATTTCCAGCTACACAATGCACCCCGGTGAGGGAATTACAAAACAGTATTCCAGAAAATATTATTATTTTTTTTTTTTTGCTACTCCAGTATTGATTGGCAACATGGTGAGATAGTCAAGAAATCGTTCACTGGTTTTCTTCCTTAATGGAGGTGACTCTGAAATAACTAGGTGGAATCCCAGATGCAGGCTTTTGAAACAGGATTTCACAACCAAATTGGAGAGGAAAGTCTCTGGTAAAAGCCCTACTTACCTTACTGCAGCACTCACTATCCAGTTCTGTGTTATGCTTAGGATATACTCACAATACCTCAGTAAATACTGGGCCCAAGTTACTACTTTTTGAGGTCTTTAAAGGAAGGAAAGAAAAAAGAAAGGAGAAAAGTTGACGTTTGGTCCCAGATTTTGAGTTTGTTATAAAATGTACATTCATGTTTGGTGAATCAAAGAATCTTCTGGGAAAAAATAATTAAAGTAAACAAACAAAACTTTTTTTACAGTTGCTTATTAACTATGCTTTTTCCCCTCCATTATGCTGTTTCACACTCACTGCTTTCCTAGAGCAAAGCACTTGATATGTAACTGTTTTAACATACTCCTTGTCAGCCCTCAAAAATATAAGCAGTGTTTCTTAAAAGCCCACGTTTTCTAAGGCCACTAGAAGAAAATCTGCCAAAAGATTTGTAGTTGTTATCGTCGGTTTTTGTTAAATAGCACTATTAATCTCATGTTTCCATTACGGACGTACTTGGTTGGCATCTTCCACATCGGGTCTTAACCAGGTGACTACTGTGTCACTGCGTCTGTGTGAACACCGGAGGTCTCGGCTCTCTGCACGTGGAACTGAGTGTGGTTTCCAATGACATTCACAATGATGAGGAGCTCTGAGTGTAATCTCTTATGATAAGTGTGTCATATTTGGGAGACGATGGGATACAGAGGGCGGACTCAGACACTGGCGAGTTGGGGGTTGTGCTCCCCGAGTCCACCGAGTCCCTGAAGGGAGATGGCGGGGTGAGAGCCACCAACTCCTCCAAGTCCGGCTTGCCGGCTGCAGCAGTCTCAGGCCCGGCCGCTGAGGTCTCCCGGACAGCGCCCCCGGCCGGCGGGGCCCCCGCCGCAGGCTGTGTGCTGCCTGTGACCTCCATGGCAGGCAGAGGCTGGATTTCGGCGAATGTGGTCATGGTCGTAGGCAGCTGAATCTCTTTGGGGATCAGGTAGGTGGAGCAGAGCGGAGTGCCTACGCCAGGGCTGGGAGCTGCTGTGGACAGCATCATGGAGTTGAGCTCACTGATGTTGGCTGTGAAGCGGGTCACCACGCTGCTGATCTGCTCCATGAGAGAGCCCTGTGAGGAGCTGCTGCGCGCCGCGGGCTCCGAGTGCAGGGAGGGCACGTCGTCGTCTGTGCGACTGGCGGAACCCGCGCGGTGGCTCAGCATGCTGATGGGCGATGGTGAGCGTGGCCTTGTGGGCGCTGGGAAGTGCTCCTCGGCCTCTGCCACGTCGTACAGCGCCTTAGGGCCGGTGTCTGGGGGATCGGGTGCGCTAGGGCCTGCGACCGAGCCGCCAGCACCGCCTCCTGCACCTGCCACTGCACCTGTGCCTGTGCTGCTTGCGCCCAGGCCACGGATTTCAGTGCTCTTGGGGAAAGGCTTGATGATGGCCGTTTGGTTGGGGTTCTCTTTCTTGTTGATGTGAATGGACAGCCTCTGCCACAGATGCTGTCCCCGAGTGCTCTTCTCATTCTGGGCCCATGTGACGGATTTTCCATTGGAACTGTGGAGAGAAAGGAGATGAGAGGTGACTTAGAGAGGTCCCTTTGGCACTTCAAAATGGCTTCCCCATTGGTGGGTGCCTATGGGTCCCACAGTAGGAAAGATTTTTCTTATTCTTGCAGAAAAGAGGGCAGCAAAAGATACCATGGAAAACAACTGTGGAAGTGGCTTTTGTTTTAGCTTGACTTAATTTTTTTTTTCCTGACCTTCAGTTTATCATTATTATGAAAGTGTAGCAAAGGTGATATTAGTAATGATAAGGAAGTATTTCTGTGAATTCTGCAGTAGTTCTGAGCCTACCAATGAGTGCCACAGCTGTTTGTACTGCAAACATGGATACAAGAGCTCGCATTATGGTTACTGTGTGCAGAAATGCCTGGCACAGGGCAAGGGCTTCCTAAAGTCCCTGAATGGACACATTAGATTTAGGACCTAGCAAACTCAAACAATCCAATCATCATAGGAGAGGGAAGAGGTAAGAGATTCAATTGTTACCAGAAAGCAGAGAGTGGCTCCAGTTTGGCTTTTATTTTGTAGCCCAATGGTTGGTATATTTAACTAGGGATTTCTGTCTGAACACCTGACTTTGAACATGGGTTTGCTTATTCTGCTATTTCCTGAAAAAAACAAACTCAATGAAAATATACACACAATTTTAATTAATTATGACTTTTCTGCTTCATACAGATTCTCACAAATTTATTTTTAGGTTTAAAACTTGAATAACAATTCCGTGAGGGCAAGTACTAGAATAAACAAAACAACAACAACAAAAAAGTGCCATCCAGTAGATTTCCAACTCACAGAGACCCTATGATAGAATCTCACTGCTATTGAGTTGATTTTGATGCATACTGGCTCCCATTGGGTTTCCAAGGCTGTAAATCTTTATGGAAGTAAATTGCCTCATCTTCCTGCCATGGAGCAGTTGGTGGGTTTGAACTGCCGACCTTATAGTTAGCAGTCAAATTCCTTACCCACTACGCCACCAATTAGAGTCTTGATGAATGATGTCTGACTGATTGATTGCTCTTCCTTTTCCCAAGTAGTCCTTTTTGATCTCCATTCCTAGGTCCAAAAAGCTGCTCTGATGAAGAGGCAATCCATGCCTAGGTCTCAGAGCCTTCCTTACCAGTCACCCAGGAACCTCACATATGGTTGTAGGATGAGGTCAGTACTTTGAGAATGTTATATTGAGAGATACTGGTGTGATTCTCCATAACAAATGAATCCAAGATCACTATTTTGTCCACACAGCTCTGTTTAAAGGCTATGACAGGATTAATTTTGCATAAGAAGTATGCAAAAAAAAAAAAAAAAAGTACTTAGGGCATTTGTCAGACCCCAGCAGATTCTGATTGCTTGGAAAGGTTCCAAGTTTTTTTTTTTTTTTTTTTTTTTTTAATACAAGACTGTGACCCTTCCTCCAAAGTGATTCTGAACTTGGTGTTTCACAAGCCATAGACTGAGAAACTAAGAAGAAGCTCTCCTTTCTTTCTGGGTTCCCATTGCTCCCTTGGCCTGTCGGCTAGACAGCTGGCCTATTTGCTGGTAGCATGAACACTGTTTGGAACCCATCTGCCTTGGAGTTGCCTGGCTGCAACTACCAGGTCCACTCTATGACACCAGTTCCCTTGACAAAAGACCACCATTTCTACAGCCCCTTTAGCAACATGATACTTGAATCTTTCCCCCACTATTTGCCATTCCTTCATCTTTCCCTTTCCACTTTGTGGTCTTCCCTTTCTCTGATCCTTTCTCTTAAGTCTCATTCCATTTAATCTATCCAATATATTGCAAATGGGTTTCCTCCAGAATTCTAGAATTTTCTTTCCACTTCTTGCAAAGGATGAATCATTTCCAGATTTGGAGGTTGGGATGTATCTACAGTAGCATAAGAGACAACCTGTGGATTTTGCTTTGTAGTAAAGTTTCAGGGTTGTCTTTTCTGTTTTGCATTATCCTGACCTGCAGTCATTAAGTTTTCAGTCCATTACTTTGCTCCTTCCCAGGTGTCCACTAACTTCCGGCATACATTATTGATAAGATTGGATTGGAAGGATGGTTGACAACTCTACTTCCTTTCTCTTCTACTACCAGGATAATAAACAGGCAACTGCTGAAGGAACAATTAGGCTTTCAGGTCACTGAGGATACTTTTAATGCAAAGCACATGCTAGAAACTAGAATAGTTGGACTTAGTCTACTAAGTTTTACTTTATTGAATACTTGCTCCCAGCCCAGAGTGCTAGGAGGTTTTGTTGTTGTTGTTGTTGTTATGTGCCGTCGAGTCGGCCCTGACTCATAGCGACCCCTCCTTGGGTTTCTGAGGCAGTATCACTACGGAAGTAGGATTGCCCAACCTTCCTTCCGAGGAGTGGCTGGTGGGTTTGAACCGCCAGCCGTCTGGTTAGCAGGCAAGTGTCTTAGCCACTATGCTACCAGAGCTCCCAGGAGGTTTTGTAAACACCTGCTTTTTAAAGTTCTCCCTCAAATGCCTTTAGCTTAATATGACAGAACATAACTTTAGGTATTAACAATGACAGCCTTTTGAACTCCATGTACTCAAGCATAAAAACATTGGTAACTGATTGAGAAACCTTTGGATGAACAAGTGAGAAAAAACCATCCTAAGCAACAAATTCTGCACAAAGTCTAACTGCTTTCCTACACTGAGGTCATTTGAATAATGGTGGAAAGGGACTGAGGAGACATGAGAGAAATGGAGTCTAAATCTCAACACTTCATTTCATTTCTTGGGTCATGAAAGATTTTCTTACTGAAGTAAATAGGAACTCTTAAGGAAAAGAAATACATAAATGGCCTATGACATTCTGTTTATTAATGAATGTAAGTACCACAAAGATAGAGACCCTTATATCTTATTAACTGGCACTCAGCAGGATCTTAATATGTATTTGATGGATGAATAAGATTATTAAAATAATAGGGCCACATTGGTGTCCTGGAAAAGGCAATGGACAAAGGATCCTAAAGCCTGTGTCTGCCATCCTGGATTCATGGAAAAGAGTAATCTCAGCCTTCACAAAAAGAAAGGTATTTCTAGTTCTGTGTCTGCCATCCTGGATTCATGGAAAAGAGTAATCTCAGCCTTCACAAAAAGAAAGGTATTTCATTTGATCAAGATTGTTATGAGCATTAAATGAGATAATGCAAACAAAAGGATCTGGGAAGGAAAATGTGCCTAAGAATTTTAGTTTATTGCATTCCAAGTGAGTACTAGGTCTGAGAAAATAAAAGATAATGCACTTAAATGCTATTTTGAGCTCTGGTTTATGGAAGAGGGAAATCAGTGCAAAGTAATATGTAGTAAAGACATAAAACCTTTCTGGCTATCCCTCTTTTATCTGACCAACTCTCACAAATATTGGAGTTTCGTAGGGTTTCATCTGTGGCCTTCTATTGACCTAAATGCTCTCCTTGGGTGAATATACTCCACTAAATTCCTTGGGTTGCCGAGGCAGTATCACTATGGAAGTAGATTGCCCAACCTTCCTTCCGTGGAGTGGCCGACCTTAGGCAAACTTATTTAACACCTCTGGGGGTACCTTATAAAGCATAGCTGTTTTGCTGATGCAAAAGGTTATTCATTATCTTCTGACCTTCCATTAATTGACAAAATGTTGCTTAGGCTGAAATTGTTTTCTCTGTAAAGCAACAGAATTATATTTTTGTCCTGGGGCTTTGAGGTAAGAAAAGGAAGGTAAATTTGTCTTTAACTGTCTATAGCACTTTACCTCCCTCCACTGAATATTTTGGGTTTTAGAAAGAAGGAAAAGGAGGAAAGAGGAAAAGAGAAGAGAGGGACAGACATTTGGTAAAAGGGAAACACTGGCTTCCAGAAACTCCTTGTTTTGTCCCTGCACTGATTAACCCTTTCTTAGAATATAACAATGTGAAGTTGAATGTTCTCTGTCTTAGGATGCTTTGCTTTTTTATTCTGGGGGCAGGGGGGTGGGAATTCTGTTGTTAGTTATTATTCTTTCGATCAGGATTCTTCTATAGAATCTTTTTTTTTTTTTAAAACTGTTTATTGTGATTTGGATGAAGAATCCAAATTGGTTTTCCATTCAAGAATTCCTACACATTTTGTTTGGTGACATAGATTGCAATCCCCACAGTGTAACAGCACTTCCTCCCTGTCCTAGCCCTTCCTGCATTCTGAGCTTTATCTCTGGGCAAATGCTGACTGTTGATCTTGTATGATTGATTCTTCTAAGCACCGCTTACCACCCTGGTATTAGTTCACCTTATAGGAAGTGATATGTTTTGATTATATTTCTTATTGGGTACAATGGGTACATACTGCAGATATAAGGCACTAAGTCAGTTCTATTTCTGTCCTTTTTGGGATGCTTAACACTGTACCCCTGGCCTATTAAAATGACTTGTTAAATATATTCAGTATACCACTGTTTTCCTTGTCAATATTCTTAGTTTATTTCCAACAATAGGGTTCTTCTCTCCTTTCTCTCAATGCTTAGAAAGTCAGTTATTGCTGTTAAGTGCCATTGAGTCAATTTTGATTCATATTGACCCATATGACAGAGTAAAACCACCCAATAGGGTTTTCTAAGGTATAGTCTTTACTGGAGCACATTGCCAAATCTTTCTCCCAAAAGGAGATGGGGGTGGGTTAGAACTGCCAACATTTTGTTTAACAGCCAAGCACTTAAATGTTGCAACGTTTCTGTTTTCTTTTTTTTTTTCACTTGCAGTATGCTTCCTTCAGTATATATTTTTTTGATCTCCCAATTCTTTTATTCCTTCTAAGTATTTGTATATACATGTTTCAGATACACATTATGATTTCCTTAAAAAAATCTGTGAGGCAGTTGAAAATATTATGCTCATTTTACAGACTATGAGATTGATGTTGAGAGAGGTTCAAAAGTCTTCTGTACATAAAGGTAGAAAATACTGAAGCTATCAAATCCTGCTATATGTGATACCAAAGCCCATGACTTTCTACGGATTACT